TTAGTTGTAGGAGAGTAGCATTTATATTCTTTTTGGTGTGATGAGCAACCTAGAAAGATGCATTAGTAGTTTTGGATAGAGTTTACTATGCTGGGACTTATGGATGTGAATAAATGTAGTACACCCGAATACTTTGATTGGGATGGATGAGATTATTAGAGTAGGTGGATATGCAGCAAGGACTAGAGATGGAGTTTTGAATATGAGGATTCTAGAGGGCATTTGGTTGATCAACTAGGTTGCTGTAAGTATTGTTTCATTCTAGAATTGTTTTGGCACGTTTGAAGCTATCATGAGTGGCCTTGCGACTTCCATTAAATGTCTATTTTTCCTTTTGCAACTTTATTCTGCTGTGAAGTATCTATGCACGAGGTTTTATACATGATATCATTTTCCAGCATATATGACCCGAGTATGTAGTGATAGTATTCTCGAGCATTGTCTGTTCGAAGGACTTGAATATTTACTTGGAATTGCATATGAATCATCTTGTTAAAGTTTTCAAATATTTCCTTTACTTTCGATTTTTCTTTCATGAGGAATACCTAAGTCATTCGTGCATGGTCATCAACAAAGGTGACGAACCACTTAAAAGCGGCAATGTTGTTGATTCTAAAAGCTACCCAAACATTACAGTGTACAAAGGAAAATGGATGAGATGATTTGTAAGGCTGAATGGAATAGAAATTGCAAGTGTGTTTGGACAACTGACATATTTCATATTAATATTTTCTGAAACTTTTATTGAATAATGATGGATATAATTTTTCGAGATATAAGAAGTTTGGGTGGTTTAATTGATAATGTCATAACATAACATTATCTATTTGGGTACTAGGGCTGTCAACTACACAAGCAATCTTTATCAGTAGTTTTTGAATCTCCTTAGCTCTCAGAAGATAAAGTCCATCACACACCTCAACATTGCCAATCCTTTTCACAGAGTTCAAGTCCTGAAATTCACACATGTATAAAAGGTATTTAGTAACACAATTAAGATCTCGCGTTAATTTACTTAGAAACAACGAGTTGCAATCCAATTTCGGTACATAGAGTATAGGGTGAAAGGTAATATCCTTGGAAATAATGACATAACTTGTACCGACTATCGTTGAAAGGGTTCCATCGGCAATTCTAACAGAGAAATTATTATGTCAGAGTGTCTATTCATAAAAAACCATGGGGGTTTCCAATACTATGATCTGATGCTCCGGAATCTACTATCTATTTAGTGTGATTTTCCTATCTAATATTGAAGGCATGAGAAAAAAATACCTTTCTGAACTACATATGTAGTACCACTGGCTACTCCGGAGGATTGCCAAGTCTGTTGGAACATCTTCTGCAATGCCGCCAATTGTTCTTTACTAAATGGACTAGAATTTGCCTGCTGCAGTATGACTTGAGCTCGTGTTAGGTTTGTCTTCTTCGACTCTAGGTGTAACCTCGACCTCCTTGGCTTTGCTGTGACCGAGAAGGTTTCCAATTGGCAGGTTTACCATATAGATGCCGACAAGTCTCCTTTACGTGCTCAGATTTCTTGTAATGGTTGCACCATAGATGATTTCCTTTGTTTGGTTGTTATTATTGTTGGATTGAGTTTCTTGTGTAGGCAGAGCCGAGTTATCAAAATTTTTGGAAGAGTTTTGTATTTTCAACGTCACTTTTTGTATACTTTCTTCTTTGCGAATTTCAAAAAACACTTCTCTAACACTAGGCAATGACTTAATGCTTAAAACTCTTCCATGTACCTCATCTAGATTCTTATTGAAGTCAAGTAAGAATTTGTAAATGCGTTCTTTTTCAACGATTTTCTTGTACAGGAGTTGATCTTCGGGACACCTCTACACCACTTCTTCATAAACATTGAGTTGTTGCCAATACCTTGTAAGGATATTGAAATATTCAGTATCAGTTGAATCTCCTCGCCAAAGGTCATAGAGAATTCTCTTGATTTCCAAAATTGTAGAGGACTTGTCGATGTTGGAGTAGGTCTATCTGGTTGCATCCTGTATCCCATTTGCTGTACCATAATACATGAAGTTTTCTCCTATTTCATTGGTCATGGAATTAATTAACCAAGAGATCACATTACTGTTTTTGAGTTTCTAGATTCGGTATCCTAGATCATCTTCCTTTGACTAAGCAGCGACTCCTGTAAGGTACTCGTTTTTGCCTTTTTCGCAGATGAATAATCGAACAGACTGTGCCAATTGAACAAAATTCTGCTCATTGAGTTTATGACCAGTTATGGGAAGAATGATGCCTTTTGTGCTGCTGATACTGTTGGAGTGCACTGCTTCAGGTCTAGAGGTTACCTCCGAGATTAAACCTTCTGTTCTGCTTGCCATGAGTGAGAGAAAGTTTCTTCCTTTCCTTTTTTTTTTCTTTCTGGTGGTTCAGATCTATAGCTCTTATACCATGTAGAAATGTTGTTTATTTCTTGTATAAATTTTGGATACAGAATGAGAGTATATATACAACTTAAATTCCTAAATTGTAGTTGCATATTATGCAGTCAATATCTCTTGGTACTAAAGAAGGAAACAACAATTAATTAAGAGATATTTTCTCTTCCTTAAAATCAGAAACTGATCCTAATTGAATCCCACTAATCTTGGCATTTATCATAATCCTATATTTCCACAGTGATATAAAATGATATAAGCGGAAAAGGTTGGCGTTTATATTGGAGTTTTTAGAAAGCTCATGATTGAGTTAGCAGAGTACTTTAAATAAGTTCCTTAATGAAAGAGGTTCAAGGGAAAGATAGAGAAAGTGAATTAGAGGTTGCCTTTTTATGTTGACTTTTTTGGCGATCACTAACAGAAAATTTTAATATGGTTTAAAGGGCAGCAAGAGATTAGATAATGAAGTCTTCTATCCTATTTCTTATTTACCCAAGTTGTTGATGCCTGTTGGCCAGATGCTTTCGTGAGAGACTTAGAGGGGGTTGGTAAAAGTCTTATTGTTAAAGAAATGGTACATTTGGTTAGAGGATATAAGAGTAAAATACAACTTATGTAATTAATTGTATATTTTCTTTTCATTTTAGAAAACCTGTATATATAGAGTTATGATATCCAATAAAATACACATCAGAACTCTAGGTTAAGAAATCATATACTCTTTTACAAACCTTATTTGATCTTTACTGCCAAAATAAGAAATCCTTAAAGGGGGTAAACCCTACTTTCAGTCGCTGTAAGAGGTGTTTTAAATTCCCCTCTGCCGTGGTAATTGTTTTGGCTGTTTGCTTAGTCTTAATATATGTTTCTTGGCTGGGTTTTCATTCTTCTTCCCATTCTTGCTTCTTGTAGGTGGATGTTTGTTTCTTTGTTTTTTCCTGAAGAAAATGAGTGGTTCTTAATTGGCTTTTTTTTACTGTTATTTACCTTCTTCAAGGACTTTTGCTCCTTTATTGTTTATATAATCCATATTACCTTTAAAAAAGCATAAATTGTATATGATTCATTACTTCAGGTAGTACCAACCCAAAGTCAAATACAAATTTCGCAAACAAAAAAATTATTGAACTTAACAGATTTTATTGTTTGGATTTGATACAAACTAAAAATATATGGGTTGAATTGCTTCATTTAAATTTTAGAAACAATATGGTAAAATATAGGATTTTTTTTATAATACCCCATAAAAATGTTAATACCCAAAAAAAGATAAGTCGAAAGCAAAGAGCAGAATCCCACAACTTTCTAATCTCCGAACATCAAAGAAGATGATTGGGGGGGTTCATACTCCTGATGGTATAATAGATAGCTGTTGTCAATAATCTTGCTCCTCTTCCTGAGTTTATCCATGTGCAGTAAGTTTTAGCAAGCTGCTTCTCAAACAAAAAGGGAAGTCCACCACAAGGTGAAAATGCTCGTGTATATAACAAAAAGATGCCCCATAGGTCATATGCATAGATACGATTAGGGTAGTAATGGCCAAACATGTTCGTTAATGGTTAGCTTAATCAAAGTTTATTCGAGTGGGGTCAAACTCAAACTCAAACTCAAACTCAAACTCAAACCCAAAATAGAGCATGAGAAGAAGGTTAGTTTAGCTAAGCTAGTTGGATTCAAGCCTCGAGGTATTTGGTTTAAAAGCTGAGGAATTTGTTTGAACTCGAGTAAAATTAGGTAAATAAAATGTCAAACAAGTTTAATCGAGTTTACGAGCTGATCTGTATAGTTGAATTTATTGATTTCAAGCTTTCTCTAAACCAACTGACTTCAAGTCTAAAGAAAATTCAAATCGAAGTTCAAGCCAAATTTAAGCTTGACAAGTTTAAAGAAAATCATACGCAAATATGTAAGTATTCTGATGTTTGTTGCTATCTCTGTATAAGATGTGGGATTTTAAAGTGTATAGTACTTTAATCATCAATACTTTCTATCACAAGCTAAAGAAAATTCAAACTGAAGTTTAAGCCAAATTTAAGCTTGACAAGTTTCAAAAAAATCAGACTCAAATATGTAAGTATTCTGATGTTTGTTGCTATCTCTGTATAAGAGGTGGGATTTTAAAGTGTATAGCACTTTAATCATCAATACTTTCTATTACCATCTAACAGAAATGGAAAAAGACAAGCATAACCATACCATATGATACTGATTTAGTGGGGTAAATTGTCTTTCACATGTATATTCTATGGTCTGGTTCTGATTTATAGATTGGTTGTTGGGATTATTCATCTTTTCCGTTAATTTAATAATTCAAGATTCTCTGATATTATTCTTTTTCATTAGATAGAGAGGTAGGAAAGTCAGAATAGTAATAGGATAGTTACTTTTGCCTTTGTTTCTGAAATGCAGTTGCCATTTGCCAATTCCTCCTCGTACTGTTTCAACTTTCATTTGATTGTCAGTTGCATTCTTATCCTTTCTTTTTTGTTTTTTTTTTTTAACTTTTTGGTGCTTCCTTTAGATTTCCTCCATGATTTTTTTGGATGCAGTTCCCTTCTATCTTAGTGATCTAGAAATCTTTTTCTTTTCTCCAAATTTCAGTGATTTGGCTGACTGGTTGGGTGTTGGAGATATAGGACTCTTCAATTTCAAGCCAAGTGTAAGGCCTGTGCCGCTTGAAGTTCATATCCAGGCAAGTAGATGCAGTGTTTTTCATGTATTGTGCCTATAGGACGTATTTTTCATTTAGAGTGTATTTGAATGATAGTTTATTAATGTGTGGTATGGTAATTTCATTTATTATCTTATTTATTTGCATTTACAGACGCATGAATGGTCTTTTTGTAGTTGTTGCATGGTTCTCAAAACCACCATTTTTTCTATTTTTTCAACCCACCAAATCGGTGGTTTTGTATGGCATGGATGATTTTTTTTTATTTATATCGCTACTCTTTTTTGTTATTTACATTTATACCCTCATCTTATTTTAATTATATATATACGTGTATCTATATATTTAATTATATATATGTATCTATATATTTAATTATATATATAATATATTTAATTATATATATACATGTATCTATATATTTATATATTAATTATATACATAATTGAATATAAAAAAATATCTTCTTTTTTTCTTAAATTTCTTTTATTTAATTGCACATATATACAAACATATATATGTGTACCATATTGCCACTTGATTTTTTTTTTATAAAATTTATTTATTTTATTATATATATACATATATATAATATATATAATTAAATATATACATTTATTTAATTATATATATTTTTTTCTTTTTTTTCTTTTTTCATTTATTATTACATACAATAAGGTACGGAGAAAATAGGTAATTTGATCATCAAATATATAAGCATACCATTCTATCAATTCAAACAAAAACAGTTGTTATTACCATATATTAACACAATTTTTCCAAACATGATATAATTTTACTATTACCATAATCTGTCATTATCATACAATATCATATATTAATGAACCATCATCAAAGTCATCCAAACACTCCCTTGAGTTCTTGAAATGCTTTTTGTGTTTTCTGATTGAATATATTTGAAGGCTGATTTCCTTGAGATACTTTTTTTCCAAGTTACTAGATTTTCAATAAGCTGTCTAATCTTCTAGTGCCATATTATCAAGTAAATTTTAAAGTGAAAATGATATATCTCTTAATCTTGTTTGTAATGCCTCTCTCCTTCTGCTAATATTTGCATTTTTATTAAATAAAATATGTAAATTGATGTTCTTTTTAATTTTGTGTGCTAAATTATGTTTAATCTTTCCTCTTCTATGACCAGGGATATCCAGGAAAATATTACTGCCCGAGGATGAATAGCATGAATAAGCCAGCATATGCTGCAATATCCACCCATTCACCTACAAAACCAGTTCTCATATTTGTTTCATCACGTCGTCAAACAAGGCTTACTGCATTAGACCTAATTCAAGTAAGATATCCAACATCTTGTTGGAAGTATGAGACATTCCTTTGCCATTACTATGTTAAATTGATGAATTCTTTTTTGCAAACTGAAGTTTGCAGCTTCAGATGAACATTCACATCAGTTTCTTAGCATGCCAGAAGCAGACTTGCAGATGGTTCTTTCCCAGGTCACTGATCAGAACTTAAGGCACACCTTGCAATTCGGCGTTGGCTTGCATCATGCTGGCCTGAATGATAAAGATCGATCTCTAGTTGAAGAACTCTTTGCCAACAACAAGATTCAGGCACTGTCTATCCCCAAATCTCATCTCTCTCTCTGATATAAATTTTGACAAATACGTTTTTCTCTCCAATTACAGGTGTTGGTTTGCACAAGTACATTGGCATGGGGTGTAAACCTTCCAGCTCATCTTGTTATTATAAAGGTGACATTGTTTGTACATACTTGATGCATTTTTCTGGCAGAAATAAGGGGACTGATGTCTTGAAAATCTGTCTTTATATATTTTTTTAACATTTTAATGCTGAAATATCGGGAGAGTCATGTGCAAAGTAAACTTTTTTCTAAAAAATGTGGGAAGTAAACTTGACTTCTTTTTTTGCAAAATTTTCATGAAACTTTGGATCTACATAGTGACGGTTGATTAGGCAATTGATCTCACATTATTTAAGCCTGTAACAAAATATATCTGATTGGCTGAGACATGGTCCTCTCTCCAGAAGCAACATCTAGTTTCAACTTTCGATTAGAGGTTTAGTTCATTTATAAATTCTTGAGGAAGTGGACTTTATAGATACCGATTAGGCCTATTGATAATGCAACTTATGTTATTCATTGTGATGTATTCCTAAATTCACAATTCTTGTAAAAGTTTTCTTATTGTAAAAGACATCGTACACCAAATTGATTCGTATTGTCAACCCATTTGGCTTAGAGGGTGTCTGAGGATTGCTAATGAATTTGCTTTAAGGTACTTTAAGCAATTAGGTCATCATTTGAAAAAATAAGCAATTATTTGTGAGATGGTGAAAAAGTAAATTAATAAGGACAAAAAGAACCATGTAAAAAGTTACAAGCATGACGTGATGCAGAACAAGGAGATCCGAAGTGGACATATTTAATGTTAATCGATTCTTCTAGCAGTACCTAGCAAGTCTCTCTTTACCAATCTTAGCCATAATTCTAGTTGCCACAATGAGACCTTCACTAATGCATTTTTGAAGTCTAAAGGTCCCTCAAAGGATAAGGTTTTCGTCTGAACGACTATTGTGAATAGGCTCAACACTAATGATATTTTGCAAGTTCGCAAACCTAAGCACACTCTTTCCTTCAGTGTGTCATATGTGTTTACGGGAGGCCGAGCCTCATTACCATCTCGTTTTGCATTGTGAGATAGCTTGGAGGCTTTTATTTTTTTTTTATACTTCTGAGTTCATGTGGGTTGCCTCCCTAACCCTTGAGTATTTCCTTTCTATATGTTAAATGGAGCTGGTTTAAAGAAGGAAATTACGCTGCTTTGGAGAAGAACTTCCTTTGGTGGTTTGTGGTCGTGGTGGTTGGAGTAGAAGGCTAGACTTTTCAAGGATTGTACTTCCGTCTGTCTATCCTTGTTTTTCTTTGCTTATTTGTTGGCCAAGGCTCATAGTTTCCTTAATGACGTTTCTTTGGTTATTTTGCAAAGGGACCAGGAGGCGTCTTTATGTGCCAATCAGAAATACTAAAACTAAAAATAAGGCTGATTTTCTTTCTAAGATTAAAGTATGTGGTTTCCACTTTATATGTAGTATTTTGATGTTTATAATTTTTTGGGGAGGATGACTTATTCTCTGCATCTGTATTCTTTTCTCTTTTATCATAATAATTTTCTTTCTCTATCAAAAAAATGTTAAATTTAGTTTGTAAATGCATTCGCCTTGTTTGATGAGAACTTTGAAACGTCTCAGAAATTTTTAATTTCAGAAGTGTTAATTGTTGATGTTGACTAGTCATATAATGTCTCAGGGAACTGAATATTATGACGGAAAAACAAAAAGATATGTTGATTTCCCAATTACCGATATCTTGCAAATGATGGGTCGTGCAGGTCGCCCACAATATGATCAACATGGGAAAGCAGTTATTCTTGTTCATGAACCCAAGAAAAGCTTCTACAAGAAGGTAAAAAATTAACAAAGATTTAGTATTATCTTCAATGATCTTAGGTTTCTATTTTACTCTGCAATTATGGTGTTTCTTTTTGCAGTTTCTATATGAACCATTCCCAGTCGAGAGTAGTCTTAGAGATCAATTAAATGATCATATCAATGCAGAAATTGTTTCTGGCACAATCTCCCATAAAGAAGATGCAGTCCATTATCTTACCTGGACCTACTTATACCGTAGACTGGTATGCACTTGATAATTTCATCCTTTGTTTTCTTTTGCTTTGCAACAATACCTCAAGATTTAATCCCATAGAGATGATAAATCTTTCACTTATAAATTCAGTGGGATGAATTAGGTTTCGATGATATCAAATCGTATCAATATCGTGAATAACAGGGAGAAAATTAAAGAAAAATATGAGAATCAGTAACAATATGCTGTTTGTTTAATCAGCTCCATTTTAACTCAAAGTATTAGGTCTATTCAAGTCGACAAGGGTGATTTGTGCTATATAGTACTCTTTTCTATTTAATTTTCTTGGGGAAAGAAAAGGGTATGGATATGGAAATCACTTCTGCTGAAACTCTTTCAATGTTATTCTATCTTTTCACTTTCAATGGTGGAGACAGATGGTTAATCCAGCATACTACGGATTAGACAACACAGAAGAGGAAATTCTGTCTTCATACTTGTCTAGGTAAAAAACAGTTTAGCTCTTGAATTTCTTCTTTTGGTTTCATGTTGAATGACCACTTCCCTTCACAGATTGGTGCAACACACATTTGAGGATCTAGAAGACAGTGGATGCATCAAAATAAATGAAGAGAGTGTTGAGCCTACGATGCTGGGTACAATAGCATCACAGTATTATCTTAGCTACATGACTGTGTCAATGTTTGGATCAAACATTGGCCCAGATACACCCCTTGAAGTAAGGAAATCCAGTAAATAATTAACATTATCACTTTTGTCACCTAGGGATACTATTGATCGATGTACTTTGTGCAGGCATTTTTACACATTCTATCTGGTGCATGCGAGTTTGATGAACTTCCTGTCCGGCATAATGAGGTAAATATAGTTGTTACTAAATCTGTGTTGATTAGAATATTTCGTTGCCTCATTAGGAAAGATATTTTTCCCTTTATAATGTGTAATTAATTATTATAATCAATTGGAATTCCTACAATAATGTAAATTTCCTTATTCGTAAATAAGAATTCTGTATAAATACCCTGATTGTAATTTCACAATTCTATTAGAAAATAAAGTTAATATTTTTTTTAAAATCTTCATAATATCATAATCAAATAAATCTATTTTAGAATTCTATTTTCAGAGTTTTCTTTAAACTCTAAAATAGTATAATAGGCTGAATTGGTACCTGTGTATGAAAGTTCTACTCCCACCACCACCGGCCTATCTCACCGTTGGCCTACCGCACCAAACCCATCCTAGAGATAAAATCCGCAACGAGTTGATCCATAATGAGTATTACATTGTAGTGCTCTTAAAGAATACCACCAACTCGTATCCCAAAGATACAAGCAAAACCGCCTCTTCTCTTAAGTCGAAGCTCTTTACATCTTTTTTGTAAATAGCGAAAGGTAGTGTGTTTTGCCTTACATAAGGAGTGGGAAAATGCCGAAACTGAACTAACGGGGATTTTAGACTCCATGTTGCATCATGAAATCGTAGAACTTCTATACGCAACTAGCCTACCGTCGAATCGACTCTACTTTACGATACCATATTTCTTCTCTTATGAAATTAAACTTCTCCGCTGACAGAGTGCTTCTTTGATTCAAAAGCTATGTCTTTCTCGGTCTTCGTGCTCTTTGGTTATTCACCAGCCAATCCATAAAGATGGTAAGAAAGACAGGGGGTCCTTTCTTTAACCAAACCCCTTTTAGTCGGGTTATGACACCCTATGCTAATAACAATTCCTAAAAAAGCCTCTTAAGCCTTCGTGCCCAATACCCATAGCGAAATGGTTAAGTTCACTGCTCTTTTTGAGTCCTAGTTAGTAAGTAAGCCTCGTGCTCGTTATATTTTACGTCATTCCAAGCTCAAACCTCTATTCCACTCATTCACCAGCCAATCCATAAAGAAGTTGACTTTGCCAACCCTACCTTCTTCTCTCTCTAGCTCTAAAACCAGGGACTTCCAATCCAATCTCTAGCTCTGAGTAGGCGCTACTCAGGTAGTGTTTTCCGATACGCACCATCGAAAATCTTCTCTTCCGGCTCAAATCGGTCTTCTAGTGTGCGCATAGGGACTGGTCTTACAAATCTGACGCATATTCTCCTCTATCACGCAAACCCAACCGCATCGGGGCAAATTTCGCGATCCAACACACTCCATGCGCAAGTCGTTTCTAGTTTTGCGATCCAGCATCGATTTTGCTTCTTCATGTGCGTCCGCCTTTGGTTTCGCAATACCAACGCAGATCTGATTCCTCCACGTGCATCCATTTTTTGGTTTAGCGATTTAGCTTCTCCGTATGCGTTCACCTGTGGTTTCGCAATATCGGCGCCGGTCCGCCTCCTCTTCACACATCCGCCTTCTGGTTTTCCGATCCGGCGCTGATCTAGCTTCTCCTTGCACGAGCCACTCCAACCGGTCTTTTCTGGTCCTTTTTTCGTGTACCATCACGTCTACCGCCGCTTCCTTGCCAAACAGATCTATTTCCACTGATCTTTTTAAGGCTTGGAATGGTTTTTTTGGCCTCCATTAGTATTGGTCAGAGGGTCTTTTCTATCTTGTTGAGATTAGCTGTTGGGTATTTGTATTTTCCTATCTCTAATTACTTTAAATAATGACAAGAGTAAAAAAATTGTTTGTTCTTAGTTCGAATAACCATTCATCAGCTATTACAGTTTTTTCAAATGAAGAAATTCAAAACTTGAAACGTATCATATCTTAGCTAAACCCTTCATCAACTATTGGTGCATTAAATATGGTGAAAGTAGATATTATTTCCCTCCCTGCTACCTTCAATTCTAATGCTTAGATTATAGATTTTGGAGCTAATAAACATATGATAAGCTCTTATAAAGACTTCCTAACCTACTTTTCTTGTAATAAAGGGGAAAATATTGCAATATGGATCATACACCACTATATCTGGAATAAGTTCTATTAATTGTACTCTCACCATTATTTTGTCTTCAGTTTTTTATGTGTTTAGTTTTTCTAACAATCATTCATCTATTAGTGCCTTCACTAGAAATGTTAACTGTAAAATTGAATTTTTTTCTTATTATTGTGTTCATCAGGATCTTCAAACAGGGAATATCTCTCAAAGGTGTTTGGATGTATTTATTTTGTCCATACTAAGAATGTGGGTAAGTTAGAACCCATGAGTCTTAAATGTGTATTTGTGGGATATTCTCCTACTCAAAAAGATTACAAATGTTATCATCCTCCATTGAGAAGATACTTTGTGACTATGAATGTTACTTTTAGGGAATCTGAGTCTTATCTCAATTCAAACTCAATACCTCTTTAGGGGAAGAGCGACAAAGAAGAAATTGTCCCAGTTTGTTAACTTTTGATCGTTGTATTCAGAGCGAGATAATGTGGGGCGCCTAGATAAATCAGATTTGAAGAGGTATTTAAGAAAGAATAAGATAGAGAAAGTCATTGTGCAATCTGACCCAAATCAAGAATCTTCCTCAATTATTGAAAATACTAGTGAATTATCTTTATTTTGTGATTTATTTGATTATGTAGATAAACCCATTGATCTTAGAAAAAAGAGTTAGGCCCTTACACTAAACACCGTATGTTTAATTTTGTTTCTTTTGATCTCTATCACCCTCCCTATAGAACCTTTGTCTTGTATATTTTCTCTATCTGTATTCCATAAGATTGGAAAGAAACTCTACAGGATCTCTAATGGAAGGAAGCTATGATTGAAAAAATGAAAGGTTTGACAAAGAATGAAATTTGAGAGCTTGTTTCAATTCTACTGAGAAAAAAATGGTTAGTTGCAAATGAGTATTTGATATGAAACAAAAAACATATGGGTCGATTGAAAGGTATAAAGTTACTTTGATTAGTGGTTAAAAGGTTTACTCGGATCTATCGAGTGAAATATCAGGAGAAATTTGCACTTGTCGCGAAAATGGATACAATTATAATATTATTATCTTATTCAGCCGACTTTGATTGGGATTTACAACAATTTGATGTGAAAAATTCTTTCCTCCATAGAAACTTAGAGGAAGAAGTATGCATGTAGATTTTTCCTGGATTTGAAGATAAAAGAACACAAGGAAAGGTTTGCAAATTAAAGAAGATCTTATACGAATTAAAGCAGTCTCCAAGAGTATAGTTTGAAAGGTTTAGAAGATGTATGATTTCTTTTGGATATCAACAAAGGCATACTAATCGTACCCTGTTCATCAAACATTATGAGGGTAAGGTTACACTTCTCATTATTTATGTAAATGATATTGTTGTGAATGGAGATGATATAAGGGAAATGACTCGATTGAAAGAAATTCTTGCTCAAGAGTTTGAAATAAATGATTTAGAAAAAGTAAAGTATTTTTTGGGAATTGAAGTTGTTATATCTAATTAAGGGATATTCATTTCTCAAAAAAAATATATCCTAAACTTATTAGAAAAGACTAGTATGATGGGTTGTAAGCTGGTAGAGTATCCTATTGAAAGCAATCACAAATTACAAGCGAGTATTGGTACATTAGTAGATTTGGGAGATATCAGAGATTGGTTGCAAGACTTATTTATCTT